CTTGCTTTCCTGGTGTCAAGAGTTGCACGTCCTTGCCAACTGAGGGAGCGATCATTATTTCACTAATAATTGCCATTTTTCTACCAATGCCCACATTTCTCATTGAAATCAGTCAGTTATTGCTTTTATAAACAGTTGGTATTTTCAATATTTTTCTCGTTTAAAAGAAGAAAAAAAATGGCAGCAATATTGGGAAAATTCAAATTGCACTAATTATATAAAACATTACTTTTAAAAAGTAAGTTAATTTTTTTTTTAAGAGTGGCGTTAAAATGTTCCATTTTAAAAATGTAAATATATCGCAATTGAAGCTTTAGTTTTGAAAATTTACTGAGCTTTCCTTATTCTAGTACAAGATCACAAATGTGGAGTATTCAGGTGTTTGAAATTACAAGTATTTGGTCTACAAGACCACTTTGCTCACATCATTTTCGGGTTTTTCAATAAATGAAACTATTTTAAAATTTGTAAAAAGTGGAATTTTTTAAAAAAATGCCTTTAAAACTCATTCTAAAGTTTGTTTTTTTTTTAACATAAATAGTTGTTAATATTTAGTGTCACAATCTATATATATATTACACATACTCTGAAAGTGTATAGAATATTCACGAGTTGTCGTCCTTCCACCAATTTTAATTTTTGTTTTTCTTCCTCATAATCTGGAGAGCGAACATTGTTTTTGTAGTATTTAGTCTATTTATTCTTACCTTCAGCATCCAGTGATCATTGAATTATAGTGGCCCCAAAATTTCAGCTGTTTCTTTTCTTGACTTGCAGCTCCTATTTTCAAAAAGCTCATTTGTCACATTGTCTGTTCATAATATTCAACATTTCATTCTGCAGTATATCTCAAGTTTTGTCACTAAACTGTCCATTCAGATATATAGTAATCCAGGATTTTCAGTTATTATTTTGCAATTTCTGGAATACATTTTATTTCTATGCACCATCAGTGTTAGAATTTTTATTATACTTATAACATTAGTTGAATTTCTGCAACCGTTTGATTTTGATCTCAATTATTATTAAGTCCTTAATAGTAAGGTAGTTAACAGTCCTCTGGGACCCTAGCAATCAATGCAGGCATCCCCAGGGATCACTCCTCAAACCAATCCTCTTTTTACTTTACATAAATGATTTTCTTAAGAGTATACTCAGATCATGTGATCTGTGCTGATGATACAATATACGGGTGCACCTCCCAAACTAGATGACTAGAGATTAGCAGCTGATCTCTCATCCAATCTGGTTCTAACATCTGTGGGTGGAAAGAACTGGTTGGTTACATTCAATGCCTCAAAAAAAAAAAAAAAAAAAAAAACTAAACTAGTTAGGCTGTCATCATCATTAATCAAACCTCAAGCTACCACCACTCCCAATGAATGGATGTCACCTCAGAGAGGATCTGTACCTTGAAAATACAGGGCATTCCAATACCCAGAACTAACTCATGCATACGATCCATCACTAAAGATGCAGGAAAAATGGGTGGTTTTCTGTACTGTTTCAGTAAGTACCTAACTCCTCATGCTCTCCTCTATCTTTTACAAGAGCTAGATCAGGCCTAAAATGGAATGTCATATTTGGGCAGGAACTTGAGAGCCCAAAAGCACCCTTGTGGGAAACAAATTATTTTTCTCCTTCCAGACAGAGAGGGAAGCTTTTCACTGCTTTATTGCTACTTCCATGGAAATTGCTTGAACAAATTGCATTCCTTGGTTCTAACCTTCATATTCTAGTTCTGTGGAACCAACGCCAAAGATGTTTTCCCAATCATTAAGATCCTAACCTGTTCAAGTCTTTCCCTCCTATCTGCATAAACTGCCTCTTACTCTGTGGCTCTTGTACAGGGGTGTACCTCACTATAAAAAAAAACAAAACATCTAGCTATTACACTTCAAGATCATAAAAAAATAAAATAAAATCAGAAAGGTTTTTAAATGAGATGTTTACTTGAAGACTTTGCAATTATTTATTTTCTTTTAAATTTAATCTAGTTTATCTCCAAGCTTATGAGAACTTTGCTCTTACTCTAAACAGGCACTTACAGCATGCTTGTATTTATATAAACCAACATGGTAATCTATGTAAAATGATCAATATCTAAAATAGAGAAAAGCCCACATTCTTAAGCTTTTTCCACTAAGCTTCAACTTTTTTTTTCTTCTGAGAACCAGAATTATCTTTTAACGGTTTATATATTAAGCAGAAGTGGTTGTTGAATCAAGACTGCTTAAAAGTTAACTTAAAAAAAAAAAAAAAAAAGGGGAGGGGGGGGGATAGCTCTAAAACACTTTTTATACCACCATAGAAAGTCCTGGAATAGTCCAGAAGTTCCATAGTTGCGGCATCAACTTTGCTTAGCTCTGACTAAAGAAACTCAAAATAGTCATGTAGAAAAAGAAAAAACAAGGTAGATACCCCCCAAACATTAGTTTAATTAAAATTGGTGGCTAATGCTAATTTGTGAATTGAAGGTACCACACAGATACCAATGCACAGGCATTGATGTATAAACATACCTAGATTAAATAGAGAATGCATAAAGTTAGGGAATATATCTCCTGCAAATATGGAGCAAAATGACAAACAGAAACTGGGATAAGAAAACTTTCTAGATCAATTTAGATAAACCAAACAAATTAAATGAAATTTCAAACTACTTTCTGAAGATCAAGGAAAAAGCAAACAGGCTTTTAGACATTAATGTCACTCAAGCTAAAATTGGATTGGGTCAAAAAAATAAATTCTAAAGTTTTCAAGAGGAAGTTGGATTAGAAGTTCCATAGTGAGAGGAAGTGATGTGTCAGATGAGGTTAAAAGATGCATTATGAGGTAATAACTAATTTCCTTTTACTAGAAATTTTAATGATTTGCAATTGCTATCTGAAGTCCACACTGCTTTTGTCATTACTGTCCACGTAGCAGTCATCTGAATTGATAGAGTTGTAGCCTCTGGCCAAACTAAATATAAACTCCAGGAAGTAAAGCCAAATTTCTCTTTTTCACATCCAGAGATTGAAGTAGAGATGTACAAGCTCCCACATTGTATTTAATCTTTAGACTAGTAATTTGACTTTATTTTACAGTCTTTAATCTTTATTGAAAATAATCATGCATTATTGATATTCAAATGAAGGCAAGGAATGTTTCAGATTTGTTTCTATCAAGCATTTTTCAGATTAACCATTTTAAAATGTGAAAAAAAAAAGAAAGCACACAACCTTTTCAAATGAAAAAAGTTCAATAAAACCATTTTTTTTTTTACAAAAGATACAAGCACTTAATACAGAACGTTTTTAGTTATTGACAGATGTAAAGTAAATTACCAGAATAAAAGTGCAATTTGCTTGGATTAAACATATGCTCTCAAACTAACTTCTCTAAATAACAAAAAAGCCACACAGTATAGATTTTTTAAAATGTAAAAAAAAAAAAATTATTAGTACCAAATGTTAAATATTTCGGCAATTATGAGTGATCATGTAGAGGTATTAGTCAGCTTCATGCAAATTTACCTACAAAAACAAAGTTACATGTCCTATTCAATTTTATTTCAGCTTAAATGAATTCGGTAATACTGTCTCCATTTTTGCTATAATTACTACTAGGTTTCAAGAGGAAATGCCAGTGCTATCTTTCAAAGTGCTAAAGGAATCTTAGAAATGCCTCTGGGGAAAAAGTACATAAGTTAGGAAATGGCTCAACGAATGGTAATAACGTTAGAAAGAATATATTAAAATAAAAAAAGAAAATATATATGAAGAAAGGCCTAACTCAAAAAGTCTTCAATATTTCAAGCTAAATGTGATCTATTAAAGCAAAAATTCTTGCAATTTTTGGAATTCAAAAGGAATTCTTTATTACAACTTTCTAGTTTAGACATTGGAAAGGAAGCCAGTGGTCCCAACAAGTTAAAAAAAAAAAAAAAAAAAAAAAAAAAATCAAATGAAAATAGAATTGTTCATTTATGATGTAATACACAATTTAGTTTTCAGTGGTGTAATGAATGTTATACAAAAAACATGGAAAATACTTTGATGACTGAATGATAATGCTACGAATTTACATGTAAGGTTTTGAAAAATCAAAGCAAAGCACACACCCACATACTAGAGGCCTTTTGCAGTTAGCTCATATATTACTTTTTCTTTTATTCTTAAAAAAAAAAAAAAAAAAAAAAAAATATCAAGAAAAAAAAATCAAAATAGTTTGTTACAATATTAAACCCACTCTTCTTGGAAATTCACACCCAGTATAATATTGTACTATATTGATTCTCATGCAAAAAAAATATTGCAATTTTAAAAATAGTAAAATCTTTTGGCTGCTTATATTCTTTACTCTTTTAGCACTTGATGTTTTTTTAAAAACTTAAACTGAAATTTACCTCAAGTTTTAAGTGTATCATAAATTAAGATTGGTTCTCTTAAATTGAACAAGATGGGGAAAAAAAAAAAAAAAAAAAAAAGTGAAAATCTCTAAACATTAAACAGATGTAGTAAAGTGATATAAAACTTATGGTTAGGTTTATTAAATGAGATACCAACTGAATAATAAAAAGTATGGAATTAGATTGGGGGGCACTCAAAAGTGAGAAAAGTGATTAAAATGAATAAGTGGTTGGAATTATATTTGTAAAGAAAAAAAAAAAAAAAAAAAAAAAAAAGCATTATCTGGACTCTTTCTTTAGAATCAGTTTATTATGAAAGAAATAAGAGTAGATATTACGGGTGGGGTAAAAATAATAATGAAGATGAACTTTCATTCATGAAGAAGGATCCTATCATTGCAATCTTTTAAATTCATAGCAGCAGCAGCCTGAATGCTTGGATGAAATGCAAATGTCTGAGTCCATTTTTGTGTTTATCTAAAAATATATCAAGTTTTGTAGAAAAGCAGGAGATTGTAGAAGGATCTTCCAGGAAGTCAGTATCTTTGGCATGACTGCAAATCTACTTGGCCTCTTCTTTCTTAGGTTTGCTTCGCTTTAATTGCCC